GAAAAAAAAAAAAAAAAAAAAAAAAAAAAAGGCGGGGGGGGAAAGGGCACAAAATCCTTTAAACTCTCGCCTTTCCTTACAGATGTGATGCCCTTCCTCTTTGACCTTTAGCTCCAAGAAGCAAGAGTCAGCTCATGCCTTATTAAAGTTACCCTCAGCAGCCTTCTGTGTGTGTGTGTAATCTGAGGATGGGTTAAGGGTGGAGGTAGAGTTCAGCTGAGCCAATAACCTAACTTGGTTTTACACCTAAATGAAAAATATTTGTCGCATCATTTAATACACACTGAATTTTCCAGGAAGTAACTATTATGTAAAATGAAAGAAGATTGTGCATTTTTTAGTTTGGAAGTTTACCAGCAGTTGTTTGCCATTTTGGAATATCACTGACAGTAAAGCTGCTCTGGTATTCAAGTCACTGGTACCACGTGCCTGCATCAGTCTATGTCGTACTCAGATTCTACATGTATAAACAAGAAAAATACTTATTTAGCCCTTATTTCAGGGTAGATAATATAAAGAAAAAGAATTTAATATTCATTTGAATATCATCTTTTTTTGGCAGCTGGCTGGTACAGGGATCCAAATCCTTGACCTTGCTGTTATAACACTGTGTTCTAACCAACTGAATTAACTGGCCAGCCCTGAATAAGCTATTCACTATAAGTATGTGCAAATTTCCAACTATCTCATGGTACAGTTTATCCATTGAAGTACATTGTTTTATTATAAAATCTTCTCCTTTTATTTTTATTATATTACACTTAGAGTGTTGCATTATTTTTGTTTTGTTTTGTTTTGTTTTGTTTCTTTGGCTGGCCACTACAGGGATCAAACCTTGGACCTTGGTGTTGTCAGCACTATGCTCTAACTGAGCTAAACAGCCAACTTCTATATTGTACTTGCTGGTGGCTGGCTGGTATAGGGATGTGAACCCTTGACCTTTGTGTTATGATACCACACTCTAAGCAACTGAGCTAACCAGTCAGCCCTATATATTGTACTTTTAAAAGTTACATGTATAGGTAGGTTATTTTATCAGTAAGATTCAGTTCAGGGTGATAAAAGATGGTCTTGCAAAGTATTTGCTCTATTCCTGGTGTGTGAAGGCTGACGGGGTTGAGAACCATGGAACCAAGCAGCATATTAGATATAGGCCACATCCCACAGGGCCTTGCTTTCAGTGCTATTGGCAACCAGGGAGGACAACACAAAGGAATAAGCGATGTTCACACAGAGCCTAGCATGGGGCCTGTATGATAGTGTCTTAATCTGTTTTGTGCTTCTTGTAACAATACTACAGACTGGGTAACTTATAATGAATATAAGTTTATTGGCTCACTGTTGTAGAGGCTGAGAAGTCCAAGATTGATGGGCCCCATCTGGTGGGGGCCTTCTTGCTGCATCATCCCATGGTGGAAAGGCAAAGAGGGCAAGAGGGAGAGAGAGAGACATGGAGAAAAGGGACTGAACTTGCCTTTTTATAAGGAACCCACTCTCATGTTAATAGCATTAATCCATTCCTGAGGGCACAGCCATCATGGCCTAATCACCTCTCATTAGGCCCCACTTCCAACACTGTTGCATTGGGGATTATGTTTCCAACACATGCTTTTGGGAAGACACATTCAAATCAC